TTACAAGCTCCAAAAGGAGTATAAATAGAGAAATAATGGGTCGGACCGCTAATATGGGCCCGATAGGCCCAACTACATAAAAGACTAATCTAGTACATACAGATGATATATGAACAATACAATAAAACAAAAGACATCTGATAAGCGTGTGTGAGCTGCTGTCCAAGCCAAATAGTCGTGAGACCCGGGGGTCCAAGTCTATATACTCCATCAACATGTATTTAATTAGTGAATTTATATGTTTGATTTCAAAAGTAAAAAAAAAACATATCACAACATTCTTAAAAAGTGAATTGTTAGAACATCTCTATAACAACAACATTACTTCAGTGCTTCAAAGGCTCTCATATACTGTGAGGGATAGGGACGGATTTACACAACCTTGTCCATATACTAAATCGACCGCGCACACACTACTTCCTAATGACCCATGATGAAAATCGCATGAGTTCATAGTTGACTACTGCTTCTTTATATAGAAGTGCTCACGTATATATAGTTTAGTGAGTCAATTTGCTTTATTGTATTTCATCATATTTCTATGTAAAAGATGTAGTGAGTCTTTTACTTTATTGGAAATTATGAAACATGTATATAAACGGTGGAAGCGAATATAAAATTATAGGCCGAGATGTAACAAGTTTTATTAATGTCACTAGTGGAAATGTTCTCTAGTTAAAAGTAAAAAGGGAATTATCGTAGTAGCTACTTACATCATTCTTTTCTTGAAATGGTACAGAAGAAAATTATCTAGACACAAATAATTTATCTGGAGTGTAAAATGGCATATACAATCGGTGGACACGAAGCTATTAAATAAATGTCTTCCGGTCATAGATCAAAGCACGTTGTAAGGGAGATTTCAACAAGTAGAAGCCAAACGTACGGATTCCAAAACTAAGATCGAAGATTAGCGTAAGACTCAACTACACATGCATTGACCACAATACCCTTACTTTTAGAAAATAACAGACATTAAATAGACAATAAATATATAATAAGTAGATAATAAATAAATAAAAGTTAGATTAAAAAATAAAAAACCAAGCCTCAAAGTTCTAGATCTGAGTTTTGAGATTGTAGATAGAAATGAAAAAAACAAATGAAGAAGAAAACAAAGGAATAAGGAGGATGTCGTAGGTTGGAGGAGGAAGAAAAGAAAAGAAAAGAAGAAGAAGAGGAAGGAGGAAGAAGAAGAGATGATCGAAAACCTGCTATCCACTTTACAATCTGAAATCAGCAAGGAGATTCGGCGATGGTGGAGGCGAAACTGGCAAAGAAAGGCGACGGCTGCAAAATCGAAAATGGGCAGCGAACAAGGAAGAAGGTGGAGGCGTTGAACTTCAATCGGCGAATCTGGGAGCAAAGCCCTGAAGGGCAAATTTGGAAAGTTAGAAATATGTTTCCTAATCTAGAACTAAATAGGTAATATGAATGGAAAAAACATTAGCATATATTATTTTTGTAAAAGAGCTATGATTTGGTCCTATCAGGAGCAAATTTCTCTTGTTGTAAGACATCTGACCCACAATAATTACTATATATAGCGAACATCGGTGAGCGTAGCTCAACTAGTAGCAAGGGAGTGCCACAAGGATTAGGTCCCAGGTTCGAATCCCGGCAACTGTGATGAGGAGTTATTATGCTAAAAATGCATAGGGCATCTGCAAGTACCGGGGATAGAGCATCACTCTCTATCTATCAGATTGAGATTATAGTCCAATTTACATTTTCCCAACATACTGTCCGGTCCGGGTTAGGAGGCGCTCAAGGATGGGATGTCATCCTTTTTTTTACTATATATATGGAATGGCCAAAGGCTATCATATCCGTGTAGAAAGTGAAGTTTTCCGGAATGCAAATGCTGATGATTTGAAATTACTTGAAGTCAAATCTCAGCTTGTCGTAAAAGAGTAAAATAAATTAAAACTATAGAGGAATGCTCAAGGATGACATCCATGCATGGATGTAGGCTAAAGCAATCCTATCTATCAATAAATAAATTTAGTAGTTTTTCAAGCAACCCCAATAACATCAATATATTCACTCAATAAAGTTATTTAATTAAAGTATTACTTTTATTATTATACATCATTTTTTCATTTTTTTTTGCGAATAGTTATGATTTAAAAAGAAAAACACTTTTGATGTAAAAATAAATAAGTTTGGAGTTTAATTTTTTATTCTTACTTCAGGTCTCTTTTAAAAAAAATAACTGAAAGATGTAAAAAATATACTCAAACTTTATATATACAATATTGGTTTTAAAAATTTGAAACTTTATATATACAATATTTGGATTTAAAAATACAATCTCATTTTTAAAAATTAAACATGAGATCTTGATTTTAAAATTTTGATCTACCCAAGAACAAATTTGGATTTAACAATCTTCTTCACTTCAAACTTTATATTCTATCCTCCGTTCCATAAAAGTTGCAACAGTTTGACTTTCACGTTTGCCAACGCGCAACTTTGACTGTAATTATATATATTCACGTATTAGTAAACATTAAAAAAAGTTAATATATTGGAAATTTAAATTAATACAAATTTATTAATATTTTATACATAATATTTTTATTATATATATTATTAGAAAATCGTAGTCAAAGTAAGGTGTGTGAATAGTGTAGAAATTACAATGTTGCAACTTTTATGGAACGGAGTAAGGTGTGCAATTTTATACAATATTGGTCAGATTAAAAATAATAAAAAATATGAGTTTTAATATATTCTTTATAAATTTTGGACTATAAATAAAAATGTGATCATAGATTAAAGAAATTTGGGATTTTCTTTTTCTAGGACCCACCGTCATTCTCTTCACTTCGGGACGTTCAGGTTGCTCTATGCATTTCCTCTCTCCAAGAGTGAATAAGGGGTACTACCTTTTCGACGAAAGAGCTCCATGAACCATCATAACAGTCTTCTTTACATTACTCCCTCCGGTCCATAAAATAGTACCCGCATTGACTTGGATCGTAGTTTAAGAAAGTGAGAATAAAGTGGAAATGTATGGTTGTAGTTTAGTACGAAAAAATTAATGAACGTGAGTCACAGAAAACTTTCCAAAAGAGAAAATGAGAATTATTTTTTGGGACGACTCAAAAAAGAATCCGAGAACTATTTTGCGGGACGAAGGGAATATTTTTTTGGGTTGCAGCGGTCATTGAGGGGAATACCTCAAATTTGGGATTTTCCTCCACTTGGTTGAGTATTTTTTTGGGTTGCAGCATGAGGGCACCCAATACCAACGAGAAGTTAACTGAGACATTAATTGACACAATATAAATTAGACTTTAGCAACACGATTAGATAGCGTGTGAAGCTCCAACTTAAATACTTACATAGACTTTATTCATTTTGCATAGTACTCCCTCCATTTCTAAAACAACTTCTCACTTTCCTTTTTGGGTAGTTCCAAAATTAAGTTCCCCTTTCTATTTTAGGAAATTTTTTGGGGTGAAAATACCCATTTACCCTTTCAATATTATCCCAATCCATTTACCTCTCCCCCATCACCCACCCTATCTACCGACCTTTATTCCGTATTACTCCATCTTACCCTTTCTCCTCTCTGTGTCATTGTCCTCTCCTCTCCCCCATGTTCTCCGACTCGTCGCTCCCCTTACTCACCATTGTTATCTCATCTCCGGTGATGCTCCATCTCCACCACTTCTCTATTCTCCATAGACCATAGTTACCCCAAGTCTGAAAACCGTTCATCCCTCCCCATTTGTGAAACCCCTCCGGCCACCGTTACTTCATACGCATGGATCCAAAACTGCCTCCCCCATTAGATCCGAAACCAAAACCACACCTTATGTCACCTACGAGGTCTGATCTGAGTCGAGTTCCATTTCATATGCCTGTTTTTGTTCGATTTCGGTACTCCAGTGATACCGAAACAGATCCGAATTGGTCCATCCGGAAAAAATACGGTGATAACCTTGTTTCAGATACGTTTGATGGCTTAGAAGGCCTCGTCGATTCAGACGTAGAAGAGGTGACCTCGGTTTGGAATGACGGTGGTAAAGTAGCCGGGGAAGGTGGTGAGGGGTCGGAAGACGAGGAAGGCAGCACGGGGAGCCCCTTTTCAGATGGTGAAAAAGGTCGGGAAGCTGATGCGGATTCGGATGCATGCGCAAAAGGGAAGTAACTATGTTAACCCTAATTTCTGAAATGTAATTTGTGTTTGTGCTTGTGACCTAATTCGTGCATGTATTGAACAGATACTATGCTTTGTTTTATTGATTGGAACTTCTGGTTTTGTAGAACATATACTATGCTTTGTTTTATTGATTGGAACTCCTGCTTGTGTTGAACAGGTACTATGCTTTGTTTTATTGATTGGAACTTCTGCTTGTGTTGAACAGATACTATGCTTTGTTTTATTGATTGGAACTTATGCTTGTGTTGAACAGATACTATGCTTTGTTTTATTGATCGGAGCTTATGCTTGTGTTGAACAGATACTATGCTTTGTTTTATTGATTGAAACTTCTGCTTTTGTAGAACAGATACTATACTTTGAATAGATACAATGCTTGTCTGCATTTTTAATTACATGTCCATGTAACTTATGATGAAATGGGGCTTCATTGATATGAAATGTGTATGACATTTGAATGATTTCATATTGTGTTGACAATGGCATACAACAATTGGGCAGTCCCTGAATTCAGTTCCATTTCATTACATATAACTATAGGGAAAATTACAGAAGCATGGGCTGGACCTAACTAGTGTCATGTCTGCCTTCTACATTTGCTTACAAAAAATGCACTTTACACACCTATTCTAGTGTACTAACAAAAAATCATTTGTGCTCACAAAATAAAGGTGTGTGAACTAGTTTATATGAGTGCAACATTCAAAAAGAAGCCTTTGTGTAAACTGCAATCTGAAAAGTTCGTTTGTGAAGATGTCATGCATCTTCACCTATGAGCTCATTTTGTTGGCTTGCATTGTTTGGTGTGGTAGTTGCCAGATGTGCATCCATACTTACTCTAGCTGTCCGATACAGTTCAGGTGTAATTTTCACATTCTTAGGTAATAATCCCAACCTTTGTAATCTGTCCTTCCCTACATTCCTCAACTTGAAATTGTTTCCACCATTATCTCTAAGGACTTCCTCCATGACATATTGGTACCTTAGAAACACCTTGTTGAGTGTAGTAGGTGTCAGCTCCTCATATGCACTCGTCACTGCATGTATTAATCCCATTATGCTTCTGGGAGCCTTCTGTTCTTTGATGGAGTCTATTGCTCTAAAAAAAACCAAATCTAAGACATTTAGGTCAGGACTATTAGGTGGTTGATACCTGAGTTGAGTATTCCAATAATCTTCTGTTGCATAGGTCACAAAATCAGGATCATTTATGTCAATGTGAGGCCTTGCATTATCTTGCTGAATTATTATACTCCTATTACTTGCATCAGACCATTTTTCTTTTATTGCTGGTAAAAGCTGGTTGAGTATCATGTCCTTTATGACTGCCCTTGTCACACTGAGTGTTGCTTTAGTCTCTAAAGTCCCAGCTGACCTGTTTTTACTTGTTCTTTTGGTTGTATCTTCATAAGTGAATGGAAAGATCCCAATCTTTCCATCCCATAACACCTCCTCATTTTCCCCCACTGTAGGTCTGCCCACTGCAGCTAAGAACATTACCATTGCTATAATTTTTTTTGATTGGGCAGCCCTGTAGGGATCCTGTTCTGTGGGTAGGGTGTAGAAGGTGGATGTTTCTTGTGACAAATAGAACCACTTCTCATCAATGTGTATCTGGTCATAACTGTCATGAAATGTGGGGGTCAAGGGTAATAAAGCTGGAATTATAAAACTCAAGCAAAACTCTAATCTTTTAACCTTTCCTGCATCTGTCAAAAGAGGTTTTATTGCATTTGAGTGCCTTTTAGGATGTTTTTACTTGGACTGTAATTCGTCCCAGACCAGACCAGACCAGATCAGACCAGACCAGACCAGACCAGTTCAAACCAGACCAGACCAGACCGGACTTGGATAGTTATAAAAATACAAAGAAACCAGACAACACCAGACCAGTTCAGACCAGACCAGACCAGTTCAGACCAGACCAGACCAGACAAGACCAGACCAACAAATTACAGTCCAAGTAAAAACATCCTTAATCTTTTCCCCCCTTTAACCATATGTGAACTGTTGTGGGGGACACTTCCATGGCAAAGGCCAAAGCTCTCATATTTTTCATGTGATGGAATGGAATGTCTGAAACTTTTTCCAAGTCATATTGGATTGGTTTTCTGCCCACATGTCCCTTTTGTATTGTCACGCCCCAGACCGAAATCTGAGCGTGTGTACAACCGCCGTATAATCGAGTGACGTCACCTGCAGGTCAACCTCATTAAATCATACAAGGCGTTCGAGAAAACAATTCATCCATACTCAGTAGTAAACATACATAACAAATATCACAATTAAACCATCGAATAGCGGAAATATTCAGCGGTAATTCATAGGCCACATTCGGCCAATAACATGGGCATGGAAGCCCAAAAACGAGGAATGTTTGGTAAAGTTTGAAAGAAAACGAGGAAGCACGAACCATGTCTTCCTTGATTTGATGTCACCTGTAGAAAGGTGCAGGTAGCAAGCCCCAGCTTCAACCTGAAAATGGTGGGCCCCCCGAAGGAGTCAGTACAAGTACCGAGCGAGTAGCAGGCTAAATATAGAATAACTAGCGTTTCAAGTATGAGACCCAAACATAGGGTGATACTTATATAGATAGTCTTTTCCCCCAAGTTAAGAAATACTTAATAGTACATATACACTTGGAAAATACCCGATCCGTAGATCACCGTTTTATTTGGGAAAATATTAATAGTCAATATTCTTGACTAAAAACCCAACCCACCCATATGTCTATGAGTGTATAGGACTCCTCCTTGTCCATATTTATATACCATAACCTATGAGTTTTGAAGATCATAATCCTTGGGTACTCCACCAATTTAAAATCCGAGTGTTAAGGACTTTTCATCCTAGGGTCCTCCACCAATTTATAATCCGAGTGTTAAGAACGTTAAGTTCTAGGGTCCTCCACCAATATATAATCCGAGTGTTAAGAACTTTAAGTTCTAGGGTTCTCCACCAATATATAATCCGAGTGTTAAGAACTTTAAGTTCTAGGGTCCTCCACCAATATATAATTTGAGTGTTAAGGACTTTAAGTCCTAGGGTCCTCCACCAATATATAATCCTATGATCAAGCTCTTATTAACCTAGATAGAGTCTATATCATATTTATTCATTCATAGCTAAATCAATCCATAAAGCTTATGTATCTCAACTCATGCAAGCCATGTGTTTATATAAATTTGAAATTAACTAATACCAACCGGTATTAATCCATTATCCATCGGTCAACGTTTTCGTTGACCGCCATTTCAACCTTATACATATCAACTCAATCATCATGTATATTATGTCAATAATATTCATTCTAGGCTTCCTTTACCCTTTAATCCATAGCATGCAATTTCATAGAAATTCTCACATCATACTCCATGTATATTCAAGTAATTCATTTCATACAAGCCTAATCATTTTGGCTAATCACATGTTTAAACATCCTTTAAACATCATTATGAATACATATAACATTTATTTAGGTAATCTCATAATTAACCTAAAAGTTATAAGATATTAAGCCGTCCACTCACCTTAAATGAGCTTAAGCGCGTTCTACGCTCCTCGGTTGAACTCCGGCGAAACTCCGGCGAACTCTAGAAACTCTTTAGTCAAGTTCCTAACAAGGTTTGATCATCATAAAACCAATATCAAAACAAATAACCTCTAAAAGGTTATTTTCCGGCGAACCGGTCGTTTTGGCTTCTAAGTCCGTTCTTGGACTTAGAACTACCTTCAAACCCATTATTCCACACTCATACCATGTAGAACAATCCTAAGGGTCCTCCATATGATATTTATCTCATATGATATAAGAAAAATAAGGGAAAAGTTATGATAAAGTTATTACCTTAATTTTCACACTTCTTCCTAGCCTTTTCCTCCTATAATCTTCTTCCTTGGGCCACCTTTGTTTGAGCTCGAGTTGCAGCAATGGAGGATGACTTGAGAGCTTCCTTTCCCCCCTCTTTTGGTAGCTTGGCCGAAAATAATGGAGTGGGTGAGTGAGGAGATAGCCTCTTTGGCTTTTCTCCCAAAATAATGTGAGGATGGGTCCCCTATTGTACCTTTGATGCCATTTCCCTCCTTTCACACTCCCCTCTCATGCACTCCCATCACCCCAGCTGGCCAACCCTCTTAATTGAGTGGCTAATTTCGTGGGTTGGCCCCCATTCATGTGGGAGGTCAACCCTTTGTGTCCCGATGTGTGCAATCGGTCTCAAAAGTTGTATTTTTCGGACTGTTTTAATTTTATTTTATTTTATCGGGTCAAATAAAATATATTATGTGTTTCCCATCATTATGGACTCTTAGAATGAATATACATTCCTCGTCGGCATACGTCTACCCTCCATTTCTACAAAGAAATTTGAACGAGTCGTTAGACTCCAATCAATGTCAATTGACGGAACACGTTATAGACACATATTGGCCCAAGTCACCGCCATACCAATTATTAAGGGTACCATCTTAACAACTAGAGGCCTTGCAACCTAGGTAACAATAGTTCTATGAACGTCAAAATACAATGCTCATGGTTTTCGGTAAAAATTTCTTTTTTTGCAAAATCTCTTGTGAGAGGTTGATTACATAGTTTAGAACTGAGATGACTCTGATACCACTTAATTGTCACGCCCCAGATCGAAATATGAGCGCGTGTACAATCACTGTATAATCGAGTGACGTCACCCGCAGGTCAACCTCACTAAATCATACAAGGCGTTCGAGAAAACAATCCATCCATACTCAGTAGTAAACATACATAACAAACATCACAATTAAACCATCGAATAGCGGAAATATTCAGCGGTAATTCATAGGCCACATTCGGCCAATAACATGGGCATGCAAGCCCAAAAATAGTTTGTAACAAATAAAAATATCCATGAGCAATGTTTGGTAAAGTTTGAAAGAAAACGAGGAAGCACGAACCATGTCTTCCTTGATTTGATGTCACCTGTAGAAAGGTGCAGGTAGCAAGCCCTAGCTTCAACCTGAAATTGGTGGCCCCTCGAAGGGGTCAGTACAAGTACCGAGCGAGTAGCAGGCTAAATATAGAATAACTAGCGTTTCAAGTATGAGACCCAAACATAGGGTGATACTTATATAGATAGTCTTTTCCCCCAAGTTAAGAAATACTTAATAGTACATATACACTTGGAAAATACCCGATCCGTAGATCACCATTTTATTTGGGAAAATATTAATAGTCAATATTCTTGACTAAAAACCCAACCCACCCATATCTATGAGTGTATAGGACTCCTCCTTTGTCCATATTTATATACCATAACCTATGAGTTTTGAGGATCATAATCCTTGGGTACTCCACCAACATATAATCCGAGTGTTAAGAACTTTAAGTTCTAGGGTACTCCACCAATATATAATCCGAGTGTTAAGAACGTTAAGTTCTAGGGTCCTCCACCAATATATAATTTGAGTGTTAAGGACTTTAAGTCCTAGGGTCCTCCACCAATATATAATCCTATGATCAAGCTCCTATCAACCTAGATAGAGTCCTCCATCCAGCTGAGTTACGCCCACTAGCTATAGAGAAAAGTTAAGTACGAGACGAAGCTGATTTGAGAAGTAGAGTTGGTTAGTATTGCGACTTTTAGTTGTATTGAATTTGGTCTCCGATGAGACCACACTAGATAAATTCATCTAGATCTAAATTATATAAGATCGAATTAGACGTACTAAACCTCAAAATTATAAAATACACATAAAATGCATATCTATCAAATTAAACTCAAATAAATCACACTACAAAATTATGGTTCAATTAAAAGCATCATGACTTTTTTAAAAACATCGTTTTTTTTTTCATTTCAAAGAACAAATGAGGGTGATGGTACATAATAATTCAAAAGGTATTTTGTCAAACTTATAGACTTGTCAAAACATTTTGTCACATCTTTCTCTACTTAGTTCTTATTATACAATCCAAAAGTCTTTTGATTGTGGCCTGAATCCGTGGAAGCAATGAAAATTATAACATGTGATAAAGTAAAGTTCAACTTGACAAACAATTGAAAGGTGAGATTACAAAATTGGCAGTAAATCAGCATTTATTAAAAGATGTTAAATATTGAGGAACAAGAACGCTAATTTTAACATTTTTTGGTCCGAGAGACTGAGACAAATTAAACTCTTTTATTTTTTATTTTATTTTATAACTAGTGTCAATCCAATACCCGAAAGTATTTGTGTGAGAGTCGAGGAACACCTCACTATATATTAAAGAAAATTGCAATATAATGAGTAGGAGGACTACCATGCCAGCATCTCGAATGGTTTATTTGGAGAATTTGTTAAAATTTGAACCTAATAGATTATCATTGAAACATTGATTTTTCGAGTAATTTACAAAAATGAGTTACTAATTTGAACAAGGAGAATTATTAAATATAACATAAACAATAATAAATTACTCCGTAATAAATGAAGAGAAAGAAGTTATAGTTAACCGTCGGAGTAGTCAAGCTATAGGTCGTGTTTGGCATTTAGCGGTTAGCAAATAACGGATAACAGATTATGTTAGCGGATTGTCAATAGCGGATTCGATCAGCAGGTTTGACTAGCAGAATAAGTTGGCGGGTTGCCAGAATATATTTAGTAATTTAACAGAAAACGACATTTTTTAAAACGCTAACCCAAAACTCTCCTATTTGCGGCATTTTCATTTCAGCGGTTTCGTCCAAAAATGTTAGGACCAAACAACTATTTACCGAACGACGTTTTCATTTATTGAAAACGCTAAGAGTGATAAAAACGTCGTTTGTTGGCTGAAACGTCATTTTCCAAACACCCCTGTAAATCAAACCTACTAGAGAGAAAAGCGCTTTAATAAGGCCACAGAAAAACTCAAAAATTCAAGTGAGTAAAACATAAGAGTATGTTAAGGTGACTAATTAAACATATGGTTGCAAATTCAAAATCCGGAATGTTAAAATAGTACTTCATACTTGGTATTTAATATGTATGTGTGCATAATAATTCATCATAATCCGACTTGACGCCAAATTCGTTTTTAATTTAGGCAACAATGAGTTCGACGATCCAACTTTAAATTTCTTCATTATTATCAGCCATGAGTATGAATATCAATTGCTACTTTGCTAGACCATCCCAAATCTTAATTTCACCGAGCTCGATCAGTTCTATTTTAATGATTTCAAAATTAGCTGTCACATAAACATTAGAGGTAAAAATGTGAGTTTTTGGATCTACACCCGAACAAATTTATTATCTAACGTGACAAAAAAAATTGGATCATTGAATTCATTTTGAGAACAAATCAATTAGGAGCAACGGAGGAAAATCACTACAAAAAAATAATTGAATTGTCATGTATTTAACACGGATTGATCAACGGCTTCATGCCAAATAAACGCGTGACAAAACACCGTAGGCACAAATTTAGCAAATTCATGGCAAATCTCCTGTGTGTTTTGGCGAATCTCTGTCAATCCCGTTTTGTATTCGGTAGATCGTAACGAGTAGCGGGAGGAAAGTGGCATTTAGCTAGACTTGATCTGTTCTTGCGGATGGGGACTTTAGGATTTGGAGATCAAACCTCGAGGAATGAAAATGAGCAGCATGTTACTTAATTAGCTGGTTCTATGGAGCTACATAGAGTACTATATATGTTTGGCCTATTATCATGTGCTCCTTGGCATGTCTATTTCCACATGCATTTATAAAGCTTCTCGCCTCTATCGACCATGTGCATTTATTTTTGTACGACAAAAATATCAAATCCCTCGCGGACTCCCCCATGTTGACTCGATGTATAAATAGGCTGATTTTGGATAAAATTATAATTGCATTGGAATAATCTAATGTTGAATTAGAAAAGTCTTCTATGTCATCATAATGACATATAATGACACGATTAAAGTATGAGGAGCTATTCTTATACTTATAACCGTTTAATAACATTGAAATTGACTGAATCGGTTGAATATGTTGAATTTGATAATGTCTCATTGAATGAATCTACTGAATTTGATAATGTCTCACTGAAGCGATTAAATTGACTGAATGTGCTGAATTTTGGAAAAACCACATTTAAAATATATTTCGTTAATAAAATAATGAAAAACCATATGATATTATAGCATTCATTAACTTCAACTAATTTGGTCATAAAATTAACGTTAACCTTATTTACTTTGATTATTACATAGTCCAACAAATGAAATCAAAAGTTAAGAGCTGTTTGATAAGAAATTTAATTATAAAGTTGATAAATTAAAATATAAGTTATCAAACGGGCACTTAATTACTAACAAAACCCTAACCTTTTCATAGCACTGAAATGTTCATCTCTCTACATTTTCCACTGATTTGTTGTGCATTCTTTCGTATCATACATTTCATCTATTTTTACACATATAAGAAGTGTGAAAGTTAAAGACTTGTACAATCTCCACACATCAACATCCCGTGCTGAAGGACCAATTATAAAGAAAGTTTTTAATTTATTCTCATATCAAATTAGACCAAATCAGATCATATTATACTATATGTAAATGAATTAGAACAGATTAGACCAAATCATATCAGATCATGTTGAGACATCATCAATTGTAAAATACACACAAAATAGACATCTGCAAAACACGACTAAAACATACAGACACAATCAGATCGGACTAAGTAAAAAAATTGTATCCAATTAAAAGAATCCAAAGTCATAAAGACTAGATGCCTTTGTTATATTATCAATGGAATGTTCTATATGACCTATATTAAAAAAATCATTTTGGTTTTCTCACTAAATAGTACAGATTACTAGTTATTGTAATGTTTAGAAAATACTGTCATTTTTATAATAAAGATATTTTTTATTGGACTGTAATTTTCTCGTTTGATCTAGTCTCTATAAGCTTGATCTGAATTGAACTGATTTGGCATGAGAATGAAACTAGTCTAATTTAAAACATCCTAATAATGTCATATACGGAGTACTCATCCCTATTGATGCAAAAATAAGATACTATATATATCTTACGTATAATACAATTTCATGATGACAAAAATTTATTCCTCTCTAGAAAAATATAGT